ATATCGTACATAAAAAGTTGTCGTTCATTTTCCGATAACTTACGTAATTTGTTTGCAAGTATCCTTCCATATAAATCACACTCATCCTCTTCGTCTTTTTTATTTAAAGCACTTTCTAAGGTATTAAACGCCCTCTTCATTTGTCTCCCAGCCTCTTCAACTTCAGGATTTCCTCGCCGGCGAGATGTTGGTCGTCGTATCTGGATATTTTCTTGTGTTGGTTGAGTAGTTATATTGTTAGGAGAATTAAATTCATTGCYGTCGTCATTATCACCGTTATCATTGTCTAATGTTTCCTGGTCAGTTATTTGCGAAATGTTTCCCTAAAATATTAAAAAAGAGCATTTAAATCTGTTGTCTAGTAATTACATTATACAATACAATGCCTATAAATATTAATTATTTATTTTAATTTATATTTCAGCTACCATCAACTTCAAGTGATTGGTTAGAAATAGAAAAAGGGTTTGGAGAAAAGTTTCCATATTGTATCGGAGCAATTGATGGAAAACACATAGTTTTGCAATGCCCAATTAACACTGGTTCAGAATACTACAATTATAAAAACTCGTTTAGTATTGTGTTAATGGGATTAGTTAGTAGTGACTATCGTTTTCTATTTGCTGATATAGGGAGTCAAKGTAAAATTAGCGACGGTGGTGTGTTTAAAAATTCTTTGCTGTGGAAAAAAATTTGCTCAAACCGCCTTAACATTCCTGCTCCTTCTCCCCTTCATGGCTCAAATGTTGATTTACCATATGTTTTCCTAGGCGATGGAGCATTTTCTCTTCATACCAACTTGATGAAACCATTTCCCGGAAASCATGAGATTGGCTCTCCAAAACGCATTTTTAATCAAAAATTATCAAGCTCCCGTGTTGTGATTGAAAATGTATTTGGAATAATGGCTGCTAAATTCCGAATTTTCAAAAAACCAATTTCAATAGAATTAGAAAAAGTTTCCAYCATAACAATGACATGTGTGCTATTGCATAATTTTTTAAGGAGAAATGAAACGGCTGCATCAATTTATACTCCTCCCGGTACAATAGACATTTGTGATAATACTGGAGTGATAATTCAACCGGGTTCATGGAGAAGAGAAATCGGCGAAAATTGTGCTATTAGGCCTATCGATCAAGTACCACGCAGATCACCAGAAAATGCAATACAAAGAGAACAATTTACGTCATACTTTTATAATAATAATTAATACCTTTCAATAAATAAACATAAACTAGCAATTATGAAGTAATTATATTTACCTCTTCAGTATTTAATGTCACGTTGCAATCGTTTAGTTTTCCAAGAAAACTTTCCATTTGATCATATAAAAACCATATTGGTCGATAAATATCGTTCTGGCCGGCTCCTGATTTAATGGACGCTTTTTTCTTTCTCAAATGGCCCCGAAATGTAGCCATAATTGAATTTTTTTACTTTTCAAATCTTCTATGGGTATATTCAAAATCTTGCTAATTCTGCACCATGCGTCATTCATTTTTGCCTTATCTTTGTTGATTACGATGYTTTGCATTCCATAAAATCTCTTCTGTTTGGTATAACTCCACAAATTTAATCGACATTTCGTTCGTCCAATCAGCCATTTTTGCACAARMCGTTTTGATTTATTTTTGTTTTTTAACTGAGGACACGCGAGCTCAAGCGAGAGTGAAGTAGGTACGCCTCGCCTCGTGTCTCGTGGTCTTTTGTCTCGCGACCAAAATACCGACTCGGAGTGGAGCGCGCACGAGGCGARGCGAGACGAGACGAGACGACACGAGTGAACCGACTACACTCTCGTGCTCGCGCTGCCTCGCTTCGCCTCGGCGAGAGTGTGGAGCTAGCATTATGTAAAAAAATTGTTAAATCTATTAATGCGTCCTCTGTTCCTAAGTTCCTTCTAAACCCATATTGCCCTTCAAATATTATTTTATATTATGCCCATATATCAGTTTATTAGTATCAGTTGAATTGTGTGTTGTTGTTCACAATAATGGTCTTATTAAAAGAAATTGTAAGAGACATTTCAGAATTGGGAATAATTCATCCTTCACATTTTTGTTTCAAAGAGTTAGCTGAATTTTATACATTATTATCAAAATTAAAAAATTATGCTAATAAATGTGGAACCGAAAAAAACAATAATAATTTTACTGTATGCGCGTGGTCAAATCAAAATTGCAGGGATGGAAAACGTTTTTAATTTTTTCGTTTTCGTTTTTGTTTAACGTTTTTGGTTATTACGTTTTTGATTAACGTTTTTAAAAACGTTATTTTTCAATATCGTTTTTGATTAACGTTTTTAAAAACGTTATTTTTCCATAGCGTTTTTGATTAACGTTTTTAAAAACGTTATTTTCTTATT